TGATTTGATGTGGATGTCACAGAAATGATAGGTAATTCAAGTTCACACATAAAAACAGATTCAGTAAGTAGTAGTGACAATGACTCAGATCTTGTGCCAAACGTGTCTGGTACAATTCAGAAAGTTTAAATACATCAAATAAATCACTCCTGCACATTGAAATAACTGTAAATAAACAATATCTGTATAATTAATCATATTTCTAAAAGAAAAAATATTGTGGGAATTGTGCAGGATATGCAGCAGTTTAATTTTGTGATCAATGTGTTTTTGTGGTACTGGAGATGATGGTGCAACATAAAACATCTTCATTTTTATACTCTGTTAATTCAAATCTCTTTTTAACTGAAGATTACTGCCTTGTTAGATGTATCACCATGCAGTCTATCAGGAACCTGGTGCCCCCATCTTCATGGGGGTTTACGAGTATATTTTTAATATACAGATTACTCTTCTACCCAGAACATGGAAGCAACAGGTTCCTCCAAAGAATTGGTACATATCTGACTATGCAGTGTTACGTCCCTTCAGGCGCCCCATCAGAACCGCAAATTTGAATTTTCATTTCCTCTCAAGCCAAAGCAGTTGAAAAATAATTCTGCACTAACAGAAATGGGAAACACAGACTTTGATCTGTAAAATACAGTGGAATAAAGAAAATGTTGCATCAGCTGAAAGTCAACATAGATCTCTTTGGTTTTCATGCAGGTATCACCAAGAAACATAGCGGGATGGCACAATGCAAGAGTCAGCCCTGTCAGAAGCCTGTCATGATAATTTAAAAAACCACTGCAGATTTGCATCTGGTAACAGTGTTCAGTTCTCTGCTTTACTCTTTTGATGCCCTATATAAGAAAAAGAGTTCCCAATTGAAATTAAAACTTTTCCATGCAAGATTTGAGGTTCTCGCAGCAGTGGTCATGAAGAGTTCTATCATCTGGGATATAACAGTGTGTAGTCCACTGAAAGTCAAAAAACACTTTAGAGGAACATGTTTCCTCCATCTTCAGAGTCAAAAAAATAGGCCAAGCAAAAAATAAGCATGCTTCCATGTTCCTCCGAAAAATCAGCTGACTTTCAACAGACTACATAGTGTTATATCCCAGGAGATAGGGCTCTTCAGGTTTCTCCATTATAATAATTCATTTTAAAATTCTGTTATAATTAGCCAAACGTCTATAGTACTTTACCATGATGTTAGAATGTTTAGAAGGTACTGTAAGTTTAAAGTCACTCTGTATTTTATTTTAACATATCCTCCATTTTGAAGAGGGTGGTTACAGTTATCCTCACAGAAGAGGAAGTTTCATGGAAATAATTTCTTTTAAAAAGTTTCAGTATATAACTTTGAAATAAACAAACATTTTGTGCAATTCTATGATGTATCAAATGTTCCTAGCAATTAATGTGAGAATTTGGCTTAAAATTATATAAAAGACACTATTATACACATCTAACCACTCGTTTTATTCTCATAGACATCAGCAATGTATCTACATAAAGATCTAATATCAGTAGTTACTTAATATAAGTAACTCAACTAACTGAACTGTAGGTCGCGGTGCAAGGGCCGAGAACTGTTTACAGCAGTGTGTAAGAATTGCAATATGAATGCAACAAAGGCCTGGTTCCAACAGTGAAGCACGGGGAGGCTCTGCGATGGTTTGAGAAGCAATATTGTAGAAGAGCTTTCTGTTGGTCCCATTATTACCCTTCATGGCTGAATTACTGCAATTACTGCTCTCACTTTCACTTGACACATTTTGGGCAGCCCTGTGGCCCCCATCACTGTCACTGTCACTGTCACTGTCACTGTCACTGATAATGGCCTCGCTATCAGAAGACGAAGAAGTTGGCAAATCTGATAGCTCATCGGAGAACATATCTAATATTTCCTGTCCTCCGAGAGATCGCAACTGCTTTCGTCTCTGAGCCATGTTGAACTGGTAGCTGCGTGGTTGATACGTGCAAGCTTGGATTAGAACAAAGCCAATTTTGTTTAGGTTGTGACAGGAAATGACTCTGGTCGAGTTACTAGATAAGGCAGCAATCATTCCTGAGGTCATCTACACAGTAGTTACGATTCAACGAAGCCACACAGCGATATATAGCGTTTTGCAACATAACGTGACCATAGAGGGCCATATGGCCCGNTGAACGAAGGAGCCATGCACCTTGCCCCCCCCCCACACCGCCCTTCAGAGAAACACTGACGTCTATGCTTAAGCATTGCAGGTTGGCTACAAGATCATCCTCATTCAGAGATGAACTTCTTCCACTGGAATGCTCTCCAACTTAGGTACTTGCTTCCACAAAGCCAACAGGTGGGCAGGCCATGTAGCACGAATGCGTATAGGAAATTGGTTGGAAAGCCAGAAGGAAAGAAACCACTGGGAAGACCAAGGCATAGGTGGTTGGACAATATTGAAATGGATCTTAGAGAGATAGGTTGGGATGGTACTGATCAGACTGATCTGGCTCCGGAGAGGGACCAGTGGAGGGCTCTTGTCAACACGATAATGAACCTTCGGGTTTGTGATTTTCTCAATTCTCATTTACCACAGTATCGCAAAAAGCACAAACATTCATTTTCAGTGCCAAATTCCAAATCTCATAAAATTTTGTTCTGATTTGATTTGAAGTATATATGTCCTTCAATGGTCATGACAAAACACAGCTAGGAACTTCAGTGCTCACCGATGGCCTTGGATACTAAAACCAGACCTCATGATATGTATTTATAGAACAAAACGGAATTACAGTAGTATATTTCATATAGTGAATTGTTTATTGTTTTCCTACATGGGAGTCGCATTCAATGGTTGACTGATTGCCCAACTGCGAAGCAGATTAGTACGATACCCTGGTTTTAATTGGCTAGCCAGTTGGTTCAACTCATTGAAATCAGCAATCTTGTGCTTGTGGGTGTAGGATAAAGGTCTTGGGAACTGATAGCTGTGATCCCTCTGATACTATTGCTGTCAACTGTAATGATGGAGAAGAACAACTGAGCGCTGTCATCATTCATGAACTGAGGGCATGGACTGACGTGAACATCCTCCATTGCCAATATCTGTAAACAATAAAACAATGCTTCAACCAGCCCCCTTATTTCAAAATCTAGTCCTAGGTGGTACGGAAAATTAACAGTCTGCTTTTTTTTTTCTGTGGCGCTACAGCCCC